TTTTTTTTGGTACTATCGTGCGGGTTTGTCACTACTGAGCCATGGTGGTGGAGTCGATGGGGTATGCAGCATGGCGCCAATGGGCGGCTAATGCAGCACAATGCCGGTAAGCTGTATGTAGAGAGGGAGAGGAGGACAGCAAACGAGGGGCTGTGACCTACTGTTTCGTCGGAGTTTCACTGACTCATCAGGAGACATTGCACCAATCAGCTGCTGTGGCAGAGCTAATGCGTTGTGCGGTGTGGCGTGGCGCCAATGGGGAGAAGGTCGTTGGCGCAGATGGGTGTTGGAGCGACCGAGGAGGGGATGGAGGGATGCGATGTTAGGGGTGAAAAAGGTGGTGGGGGGACAAAGATGGTGGCGGGGGATGGTGGGGGGGAGTGCTGCGACGGTGGCACGAAGGAAAAAAGGTTGCACGGGGGGGGAGAAGGCGACTGTCAGGCAAAGGCGGCTCACATGTCTGTTGTCATCGTTGTCACAATGGAGGTCGCCTTCGTCGTTTGTGTGCCGGCAGTGGAGAGGATGCGTGGGAGCACCGATGGTGGGGCAACGGCAACTTAGCTGTTTGTCGTCATCATCGTCCTTGCGCCTGCTGTGGGAGGGACAGGTGGGAGCGGGGAGCTTGTCCCACTCTGATACCAGTGTATCCATCCTGCTGAGATGGCGGCCCTGGCAGGTGCTGTCCTGCTGCGAAGAGAGAGAGTGAGAGAGAGAGAGACGGTGGGAGATGGAGGTGGAGCTGGAAGGCTGGTCATGCGTGACAGTGACAGCATACAGCACACCCCATAGACACAAATTATACACCAAGGACCCCTTAGACTCACAATGAGGAAAGTGAAGAATGAATCTGATTACCTACTTCAGCTGGGGTACTACCCCCAGTGGACTGACTGGACGCGGTACTGGACGCCGTACTACCCCATGGACAATTACACGGCCTGTGAGAACATATGGATTGTCTGTCCCCCGCTGGCCCACAGGCCGAACAGACACATAGCCCATCCCCTTGGCCCGCTTGGCCAATGGCCGGGGAAGGAGTACCCTTGCTATCGCCAAACAGCCAGCCCGCTGCACCCCCCCGCAGCACTACCGTGGGTTGTACCAAGCAAGCTACCGGTAGGGCCGTTGGTAGCAGAGAAGATTAGCATGGGGACAAAAATGTCCCAAGGGCCAAGTTCTTCTTTCGCTTGAAAGATTCGGACTCTATGCATGTAGACACTCTGGAATCTTCCTGGGCCTTGTGAACTGTCAGGTCGATGAACTTCGATCGGATACGCCCTTGTTGCCAATTGGGCACCGCAGGTGCTTGCGTGACTCTATGTGTCCTGTGCGCTCCTCTCATTGGTCTGGTTGAGACCGCCCTCGTCTTGCGCTTTCCTTCTTTCCGCCTTCCCGAGGCAGGAGATGCATGCGATCAGCAATGGATGATGGCGTTTCGAATCGATGAAGCGGCTGATAATTTTTTTTCTTCTATATCAATATATATCAAGGCGCATGACTCATCAAATGAGCCAAAGACATAAATTACGCCGGGTGTCTCTTTCAATGTCCTACAGTTTTCCCCGGAATACAACGCACGGTCATTATAGCTGAATTTGGTCTAGCTGTCAGTCTAAATTCAGCTATAATGACCGTATTCGGGGGAAGACTGTAGTAGCCGAAGATTCATTCTCATTTGGCACATTTGGTGAATGGTGCGACGAGACCCTTGCTCTCACAGAGCATCTCGATATCCTCTTTTTATTTATTTATTTATTTATTTATTTTTATTCAAACAAGAAAACTCAGCACATTTGATTACGCACACCAAAAGAGAGGCCGGAGAAGATGAAAAGGGGCCTCGGTGCACTACTCTCCAACATGCACAAGAGACAAAAAATATGGCAATGTATACTTCCATGTTCTAGCGGAGTATTCATTTTCATTTTGCACATTTGGAGAGTAGTGCAGCGAGGCGCAAGGAGGCAATGTATTCTTCTCTCATCTATCTCATCTCATCCTCTCGCTAATCTATGTATACTACGGGGGAACACCAACCAACCCTCGATATGAGTATTACAGCAGTCCGGTCACGACTCGCAGTGCCATTGTGGGGGAGGAAAGGGCCTCATCCTGTCACGTGGGGCAAGGTCCCACCACCAAACAAGGTTGGACTAAAGGTCTGAATCTGGACGTCTTTGCGGAGAGGTGCTGCTCAGGTGCACAAACTCACGACAGATCTGCTGTTCTGCATCTCTGCGTAAACACATCCAGATTCAGCCGGTTAATCCAATCCTCTTTGCAAGTCGGACCGCAGATTTGGAAGATCAACGACCAGAAATCAAGGATCAGCGTAAGTGGGACTTGGCCCCGGGAGTGACGACAGATGAGGCGTCCTTCGCGACATCCCCGGTTAAAATCGGAACCATGCGAAAGAACGATGCCCTTTTCACCCCCCCCCCCCCCCCCCCCCCCCCCCAAAAAAAGGGAAAAAAAAAGAAGCATGCCCCCGGGCAAGTATGACACGCGTAAATCGAGAAAGGGTCCAACCGTAAACCCAGCTTTAGGGTCCGGTGGGGATGTGTTGTATTCGATAGATTCCTGCACTGGATTGAAACTGCAATCGTGACTGCCCCCTACTAACCCCCCCCCCCCCCCCCAAAAAAAAAAAAAAAAAAAGAAAAGAGGGCGGATGAGGCAGAGCGGGTAAGCAGAACAAAAAAGAGGTCATATTCGCTGGAGGGTGTTCATGGAGTCATGGACGTATCCAGCCCAAAGCACGGTCAGGCTTCTACAAGCGTTCCAAGACTGCAAGTGTTGGTTACCTTTTCGCATTAAGGGCCTCGCTGCACTACTCTCGAAATGTGCAAAACGAGAGTGAATCTTCCGCTAGAATATGGACAGATACAAGGCCATGATTTTTGTCTTTTGTGCATTTCAAGAGTAGTGCAGCGGGGCCCTAATTTTCCTTCTTATTAGACGAATTCTGTTCATTGGACTATTTTTCTCTTCATTTTCCTTCTTAGTACAATGAAATGACTAAGTTCAATGACTAAAAAAAAAAAAAAAAAAAAAAAAAAAAAAAAAAAAAAAAAAAAAAAAAGCACGGTCAGGCTTTGCAAGAGCAAACGCTACTGAAGTTTACGCTTGTGGCATTTCTACCGATCCAGATGCATCCAGCGTGGTGACCTGGAAGGAGGGGATGCAGGGCAACAGACAGGACATCTCTATCTCCTCCATTCTGTTGTCGTCTTCAAGCCGTTTTTTTTTTTTTCCTTCTTCTTCTCCTTCCGTTTTTTTCTTTTCTTTTTTAAAAAGAAGGGGCGACGGCCTTGGGATATCATCAGTGAACTGAAGTTTTTTTTTTTTTTTTTTTGGTGGAAACTGAAGGACTTGAGTCTGTTCATCTGATTATAGTATTATAGTATCTGGATCCGAACTTGAGTAGGGGCCTCGCTGCACTACTCTCCAAATGTGCAAAATGAGACTGCATCCTCCGCTAGAACATGGAAAGATACATTGACATCGTTTTGGTCTTTTGTGCATCTGGAGAGTAGTGCAGCGCGGCCCTATGTAGTTCATGGGTGTACCAACTGAGCAGACCCGTGTTTTTTTTTTTTTTTTTTCCGGTGTTTCTTTTATTTCGGCCGTTCAGAAAGACTGCATGGCATGTTCCGATATTTGATTCCTTATCCGAACGGACTCGTCCTCGCCCAGAGAGGCACAGAGAGAGAGAGAGAGAGAGAGAGAGAGAGAGAGAGAGAGAGAGAGAGAGAGAGAGAGCCTGGATCGAGAGAGCCTGGACCCTGAGAGAGGGAGAGAGAGAGCTTGGACCGAGAGAACCTGGACCCCGAGAGAGAGAGAGAGAGAGAGAGAGAGAGAGAGAGAGAGAGAGCCTGGACTGCTCTGAGTATGCATCTCTGTCAAGCTGTGTGAACCTATACAGGCTATACTACCTCCCCTCGATCCACTCGCGATCGTGATTCGTGCGGACTCAAGTCATCGCCGGACAAGGACAGTCGGCGTCGGCGTCGCCTTGCGCTGTCCGTGCGCAAGCGATCTGCTGTGAGCGCGTCCTTCGTCTCTCCGACTCTCTCGTCCACCGCTCCTCGTCCTCCTCCTACCGTAGTCGCAAAGATGGCGTCCAGCTTGGTTGCCGCGGCCACTACTACGTGTGCTCTGTCGTCGGCGGCATCCAACGCCCTTTCAGGATCTCGCATGACGATGAACACCAGCCGACAGACCACCGTACCTTCAACCGCCAAGGTGAATCTCTCTCTCTCTCTCTCTCTCTCTCTCTCTCTCTCTCTC